GGAATGGGAAATGACAGTGGGAAAGACAATGAAAGTGATAAGAAAATAAAAGGATTAGACATACCAGAAAGTTAAATGACAGCTTGATGTTGTCACTGCTGTTATCCCTACTGCTGGTTCCTTGCATGGTTTGGCACTGTTTGACGTTGTCTTGGCTAAGTACTGTGGCACAGGCCCATCACAGCAGAGTGAGAACTAATACCTTCTCTTGGAGGGTGTATTTGTTTTGGTTATGGTGAGTTTTTCTTAAGCAGCCCCGGCATTTGTTTCAATCACAACAAAACCCATCGACTCACCTTAATTTACAGAGTCATAACTAGCAGTATTTCTTTTCAGCATAAAGAGTACATTGGAACAAATGCCACTATTTATCAACTGTAATGCAGTTCTTTATAAAGGTCTTATGTGAGCAAAGAATAAAAATGCAATGATAGTCTCACAATAAATACTCTAAATCCTTTATTGCCTATTTATGGTGTAATCTCTCCACAGTTGTACAATATATGACTGTTTAGAAAAAGCTCTAGAATACAGTTATATGGTTTATTTACCAGGAGATGGCAATGGTGATCTACTGTAGTATTAACTTATATACAAGGCCCACATAATTCTTCCATAACATCACAAACTTCGGTATGAATGAAACCAAAGTATTCCAATACTGGTTTTGCCTTCCTTATTTCTAACTTGTTTCAGTTACTGCTATTCATTGTAAAGAAAGTATTTTTTACCTCTCATTTTTTGATTGAAATTGCTGTCACTACATTTTTTAGAGATGTCTAAATACAATCATATTGATATTCCAGAAAACAGAATACTATTTAAAAACAGAGCAGCCAATACCATTGAATAAGATATGCCATGTGTCAGGAAAAAAAAAAAAAGATTTGATGAAGGCAAAAGCTTAAAAAATGCATTTAATGTTACAGTATCAAAATTGAACTTGAGTAGTTAATGAAAAATAAATTATAGGTTATGCTATTAAAAAGCATGTTATAATTTTCTAGTAAGCTGCTTGAAGTATGGTCTTAAAATATGTAGATGCCAATCATTTTACAGAACTTGAAATTAACTGTGGTCTGCAATGCCATCTGAGTTTTTATGGTACTTTAACCTACAGTAAGGCAGACACTGTTCTTACATGAATTAGTGTGACGTTGATTTCACATGTAGATCACTGCCATAAACACTGTAAGTAAAAGTTTGGCTTCTTACGGGATTGCTTTGTGTTACTTTATATCTTTCTCCACGTGATTGCCCATTTTTTACTCTTCTACCCAGAACTTGCACAAGCTGACCAGGTGGTTTGTGCATGTTTATTAGATATTTGGCAGTTTTCAAACTGAAGAAGTAACTAGTGAGACTTACTCCTCTCCCCAGCTACATCCCTGCCTGTATGGAGTAATTCAGGGACACTGCTGGCTTGCTAAATGTGCTCTGAAGCAGATCTAGACCCACATAGAGTAGTGAGCATCTTTTACCAGGGAAATGCTCCCGTGGTTGGCTTTTCCTCTGGTATTCTGAGATACACAGTCCATGTCTCACAAAAGTCACTATGAGAGAGTTATCTACCCTCAAGTTAAATAAATGCTTTTACTGCATCTGCTTTTTACAATGTCAAATGCCAGCATCATTGCCTTTCCACTGCTACTATTTTAGTGTTACTAAAATAGCAAGCGAGGATCTTAGTGAGGCTGTGAGAGGAGCGTGGAATAGGTCATAACCACAGATGATAACAGGAGAAAAGCATTGTTTTACTCGTGTGAAGGTCTCAATTTTCTATTCTTTCAATTGTACTTAGTTTTCTAAAGTTCTTCTTCACCGTAGTGTCTACCTTCCTACCACTACAACATCTTTCCTTCCTCTGCTCTGCATTAAGTGTTACTCAATCAAACCTCACCCCTACAAGGAAGAAAAAGCAAATTTAAAGCATACTGAGAGTATTTCACTTAATTCTGCTCTCTCCACACCTTCATATCAGACAGCTTCTGTGTTGGGATCTACCTGCTCAGTGCTCATGACACACTTTCTAGGGGAACAGCTGGCTCCACCTCATCAGTAACAGGAGACACCTATGTACACGACATCAGTCACACATTTCACATCTGCAGCATCTTTCCACTCATGGACCCTACAGGGTACAACAGGAAGACAGAGGTAAGAAAGACCTTTGTCAGCCTTTTTTCCAATAGGGAAATTGATCCACGGAGCAAAATGAACTGATCGAGTGTAAGCAGCAGAGGAAATACTGAGTAGGGTTTAGAGTCTGTTGGCTGCTGGTGCCTTGCTGTACCAGGCAAACAAACTATCTTTCTTTCCCTCTCACATTTTCTTACCTCTTTACACTTCTGTACAAAACAGCACAAAGTTAATCAATACACCCGGTGCTGCTGCCTCCCCTGAGCACCAGGGCAGCCACATGTTCCACCTTATGGCGAGGTTCTCCAGCAGCTCCGACGTCTAACAAGGCTGTGAATCAGTTTGGTGGCATTCATGTCTCTTCAAAGGACAATTTTTCAGAAAGGACAAAATGATGTTCAGACTGACAATTGCTCACACAAAATATCTTGTCTTCTCTGCTGGATCTCTTGCTATGAGCACCGTGTTCATGTCAGCAGTGTGGAGGGAGGAATTATGAGTTCCCCTTTTTCTATCACTTATTTAGCACCCACTCCCATCTCCCTTGTCTTCCCAACTTAGGTTGTGCTTACGCTCCAGTACAGAGTAGAGACAGGAATGTCAGCTTGAAATTAATTAGCTCAGCCATCCCTTTTCCTTTGTTAAAATCTGTCCTGTAAACAAACCAGACTGCAGGCTCTTGAGAGTGGGACTGTTTACAGCCTTGTTTTACATTGTTTAGTACAACAGGGCCAAAGCAGAGAGGCTTGGGGTGCCACCGTAGCACAAATAATTTTCACAGTAACCCAGAGGGAGAAGTAAGGCCAGGCTCAAAAGTGAGCAGTTCAAGTCAAGAGAAGTTTAAATTTCTGAATTTTAAAGTTGTAAAGAAGATTCAAAGGGAAGTAAGGGCATACTCAGCCCACTCTTTGATAGTACAATACATAAACCCCAGATTTTGTAGGAGTATAATAAAAGATTGTATAGGAGTATAATAAAACCCAGACACAAGTCTGAAAAATTCATTAGTTTCTGCCACAACTAAAATAAGCACTGTCTAGGAAAACTACTTTGCAATGGTAATGAAAAGCGAGTGGAAAAGCAAGTGTTGGCACCAGTGCTGCAATGTGAAATAATTTCTGTATACTCAGATCTGTCATTGTGAACAATGTTGTTGATTATAAACCACATCAAATTCCCAGTCCCCAAGACATGTATTTTATTTTGCAGTTTTTCTAGTAATTATGAAATCAACAGAATACTATCAAGTTTTACCACAATTAAGTTAAATATATACTTAAATGATATAACATACTTGGTAATTGCAATATCTCTCTAACTTCTTTCCGAGGAACAGTCAGCAATGTTTCTCAAGCATTTTCAGGGGTGGCTTCTAATGATAATGATGATGCTCAGCTCTCTCATAATTTTATAGTTTCAAAGCTACTTGAATCCAATTTAGAATCAAGATTTGACCCGCAGAGCTTAATTTCTTGTGAGTTGATAAGACAAGTCTCCTGGATCTGAATGGATTTTACGGCCTCTTCAGTGTACGTGAGTTTGATGGAGGAGCCGATGACAAAGACTCACAGCAGTGTGAGCAGTTGTCTGAGAACAGGTCTATATCCAGTCACTTGTGAGATACTGTTCACCTGCAGAGCTATCACTATGCCATCCTGCTGAAGACCTTTGGGCTCAAGGCAATAAAACTGCTTGTCTTAGGTCTCCATTAAGAGAACGGCCATGTGGTGCAGTGCTTCAAGCAATTGCCACTTGATCAGGGTAGGAGGCCTGCCAGGGTGTTGTGATGGTGATGGGCCTGTGAGGCAGGAGGATTGTGGTGGTATTTTTCTCAAAAACTGGGAATCTCTCTACTTTGGCAGTTTTGTCTCTCTGCGGCTGATTGTCACTGCCACTCTGGCCACCAGAACTGAGCGTATACTCCAAATTTATGTTTACAGATGCTGACATTCAGTTTGTAAGAAAAGACAAGACAAGCTCATTTGTACTTGTACCATTATCTTAATATGTATTTATACATATTTTCTCAGAAAAATAAAAACTCAATGGACTAGATGATCTCGGAGGTCTTTTCCAACCTTAGTAATTCTCTAATGATTCTTATTGCCTGGTTTTGAACATGCTGTTTCCATCTGACCTTGCTCTTCATATAATGCCATTTGCCTGACAGGTAGTTTTCTGTCTAATTGAATAATAACTTTTTAATAATTTGGTTCAATAACTGACTTTTTTTTTTAGGTCACTGAAAACAAAAGCCAGACAGATCACAGATCACATCTATTTCAAATACTGTTTGCCTAACTATAGTTAGAAATTGTGATTGCATAAAGAAACTATTATGTCTGTATATTAAATAGTGATTCTTTACTGAAATTGATATAATTAACAAGTAAATGAGTTTCTATAAAAGAATGTAGAGTTTTTAAAGTTTCTAGTTTTATGAATGTAATGAGCCACATTTTATTTAATGTTAAGTAATATACAAGTTGATGTATTTTGGAATGCACGATAACATGTTCAAATTCAATCAAGAATATGAAATCTTCACCAGGATTTTAAAAGCAGTTCTCTCAGGCCCAAAATGATTGGAAAAAAAACCTGCGGAAAAGATGTGTTTCCTCTAAATCTTTTAAACAGCAAAGGGAAGCAAAAGCATTCAATCTTTCCCCCTTTTTTTCAAATTCAGCCTGAAAACACGACATCCTCCTATCTATCTCCCAGGTTGTGGATACAGAGAATATATTTACCTTTTGCCTTTTTCCTGCTAAAATCAACCAGTGCTGTTATGTGGTGGATGTAATCAGCTGGGTATATGGTATGGTGAATGTAGCAATAAGAAACCTTTTGTTTTTTCTCTTTAGGAAACAGCGAGATCTCTGTTCCCAGGATTTTCTTCATAAAACTGTTGATTGGATGACTATGTTAAAGAAATAAGAAGAATGAAGAGGAGAAAAGGTAATTACAAGAAAAAGTGAATTGCCAGCCATATGCAGTCCATCATAGTGAATGTGTGTTTTTCATTACCTCCATGGGATAAAGATTTCTCAGCTCAACTGCATGAAAGGGATTGTTTTATGTCTGTTGAAAGATATCTATTTCCATTGGACTTTCTGATTAGCCTGTTATGTTCCCTGGGTGGCTAATTCCTGATGCTTTTCTATGTCTAGTGCTCATCAGTCATACCCTGTGCCTGTCCCAGCACCTCTCCCTTGATCAGGGATAGACAGCCCCTTTTTTGCCAATTACTGGCATGCACAATCAAATCTGAGGCTCAGTTTTTTTGTGTCTTCGCTGCTGCAAAACTTCAGGGCAAACACAGCCTAGGTTTTAAACCAGTTCAAGCAACACTGAGTTCAACATAAGTTAACCTCCTTGTTATTTTTAGCTTTCTGAATGAATTTTGCAGCTTGAACTTGTGTTCTCCATGCTTCTGAAGACAGACTGCTGCCATTGCCCAGAGTGTCTGTTTCTACATAGTGTTTGGCTACATCTCTATTGCTCTACAGGCACGTGCTGCTGTACAGGGACAGGCTAAGAAATTGCACACTGAGAGTAAAAATACCCATCATTGCGACTAACAACCTTTTTGAAGGCTTAATGACCAAATTTGGTGACTGCCTTACTAGACCTGTCTAAAACTATTTTTGTGCTATACTTTCAAAAAATTCCCACCCAGATCCAGTTCTTTTTCCTGTCTACTTATGTCGCTTTTCATTGTCATGAAATGAGAGTAGAATTCCAGGCCCTACTTCACACACCTTAATAGACTGGACATGTTGCATCTGTAGTAGAAATTATTTAATTAGTCAGAGCCTAGGACTTTGAAATCTTTCTCCGTTGAACAAAACTAAAGATTAACTAATTCTGCTAGTGCAACAAAATGTGTATAGGCTACTATAAGCCCTGATTTCTTTGCCAGGATGTGTGCAGACAGAAGACTGTGCTTTGCTTTGTGTGGAGAACCCAACCAATGTGAGCTGGGACTGCCCTAGGCAAACCACACGAGTTTGTGCCGTGCTGTTCCTCACAGGAATGTTTCTCTCATGAACCAAATTGCCTTTACTCTTTTATCCAGTTATTTTACAATAGAAATTACTCTGAGTAAGTAGGAAGTAAACAAAGTGAGCCTTTTCCTTCACTATCCTGCGCAATATACAGGTACCAGTATATCTGCAAAGTTAAATGATATCATCAGGGTAAACAGAAAATGTTTTACATTTTACAGGCACAGAGACAAGTAGCTGAGAATTTCTGGTTATTTTATTTTCTTCTTCCTTGGAAACAGTAAGCTAGCTAGAGAGTCCTCAGAAACGCTGAAATGCTCAATCAGAGGTGGTTTCTGCCTGTTACCTTCTGTATTAAGATATTGATTTGGGCTTCAAGAGCCTCCACACCATTTTCTGCTCTGCCTTCCTCAGAGCAGGATCTTTCAATCCAAAGAGTCACCCTTTGGTCAAAGCAGAGACTAAGCTTGTCATAGCCAACTCAATAGTCTTGATTGCTCCACATATATAGTTCCTATCTTCCTCACAAAAGTATTTTAGAAACAGCAAAATAAGAGAAAATTTTGAGGAGAGAAAATCTCGATGGGAGCAGTCCAGCTACTTCAATTTTACTGACAGCTTTAAAAAGTGCAGCTGTCAATGTGTGGGGTAAGTCAGTGAAAAGTCAACCCATACGTGCTGTAGAGTCAACTGGGAGAAGCCAAGTGTAGGTCTTGAAAAACAAAAAGGACAAGATGGGTCCAATACATTTGCATTTAACGTGGCCATGTAACTGTAAAACAAAGGGAATTCCTAAAGGAAACATTTTTTTGTCACATAAACGCTGAGCCGCTGCAAACAAATCTGGCAAGGCTGAGGATCCGGCTCCCTGGGCTGAACATCAGAATACCATGAATAATGTCAAGAGGCAGCAATGGGGCTGTCAGATACTGCTACTGTCATTACCCTATTACTGCAAATATCCATGAATTTCACTAGGTTGTAGAAACTGTCAATGGATATTTTAATCCGTAAGCACAGAAGACACAACTATTTTACCACATAATCATCGAAGCTAATCTTTGACAAGGTTACTACTTACACCTCTTCCCTTGTAATCCCCTGCATGCACATACAGAATAAGACTCTGAAGCCTAATCTTTCCAATGTTGAAAATGAGACTTTTATGCAAACTGATAAAAGTTCTTTGTTTGATTTATCTGTAAACCAAAATAGTCTGGTAGTTTGCCTTGAAGTTAAAAGGAAAAAACATACTCTGTCAAATCCTCTGTATTCCTTTTTATGTATTTTGTCATTTCCCCTCTATTAACTCTGTCTTAAGGTTGAAAAGAAGAGTGCACTCTAGCTTCCATTTACATACTGTACTTTAGCTTTGACTTTTTTGGTTGCAGCCTGTTAAATTTATTGACTATAAGCCCCTTGAGCTATTGAAGAGTATGCGGCTTACATTGTATATCTTTTGAAAGATGCTACTGGTAGCCTGTTTTAATGTGTTTGCTCTCTCCAGATACAATTTGTCTTACATATTCATTGGTTTTTAGTGCCAGGACCAGTTTCTTCGTTGTAGCTATTGTTTGGAAGTCTCACAGAGATATTAAGGCTTAGTAATTTTTCAGTGCTGCTCAAGGGATCTGAGTGTCAAATGAAATAATAAGTGGGAAAACCCCTAAGCAGCTGGCTTTGGAGAGCTCAATAAAAAAAAAAAAGGAAAATAATTTGAGATGGCATGAAAGACACTTTGGGACATCTAGGATATTTTAGATGTACAAATAGAGCTGGCCAAACAGTAGTACTTTCCATTCATTGACAGTTATATTTCATTTTAATGTGAAGATTTCATACAGCCTGAAAGTCAGGGAAAATTTCATTTGTGAAACGGTAGCACATGGAGCTGGGAACACGGAATATGTTCCCCTGCATACTGCAGCTGCTTTTTCTAGCGGTGGAGCTGACCAGAATACTGATTTCATTAGGCCAGGGTTCTGGGTGGAACTTTTCTCTTTTTTTTCTCTTTTCAGATTAAAGTCAGGGCTTTCCTGTGTTCAGTTTCACAGGAGAGAGTCCGAAAGCCTCAAGAGAGGTTATTGGTTATGGATCCCAAGGCTCCCAGACCTCTCCCATAAGGCTGGTACAGAGTGTGGGAACGTGACACTGTGTGTTCACTGGCTCTCAATAACAGGAATCCCAGTCCTTCCCCAGCCCTCATGTAGAGGTGCACTTTGGAATATCTTTTGTTCCTCAGTACAGGTGTTTGTATGTTGGCCATTCATGCTAACTTGCAATCTAACCAGGTGGGACACCCATAGCAGCATAGATTTAACAGTACAAAGTACAGACAGCTGTGGATTGGGATTTTCAGATTTATGCTACCTTACCCTGCCTACTCAGCTTAAAAGTTAGCTGGAATATACTTCCATCAGTAGCCAACATGCCAAAATCTGTTGTGCATCTGTGACTGGGTCTTTCATTCAGATTGTCTGCATCCTGTTCCAGGTGCAATCACTTGATATTCAATCCTAAGGCAGAAATCTGCTGTGGCATATTTTTATTTCTAGAAAATCCATTCCAAAAGTCAAACTCCTTTCTCTCTGGGAAGAGAGCAGCCCTGAAACTCCAGGCATTGATCTGTGCCCTCAGTGAGGTGCAGGTGAGGTCTGTGCACTGCAGCCCACCCTCTGTGCTCTTACCAGCTTGGTGCCTGGCTTCCAGATATTCCACCCACGTTTGTGCCTTCAAACACTATTTTTCTGAGGATCATCTGTGTTCCCAACGAGTACAGAAAAAGTAAGATTTCAGTCAACATTTCACATGGCAAACACTAGTTGTATTTTGGCTTTTAGCGAAAAAAAGGTGGGGAGGTCATGGCATCCCCAGCCCCACTTGCTGGTTTAGACCCTCTGTGGCCACATCAGCATGGAGGTGATCTCTTCTTACAGGGGGAACCAGGATAGCCTAAAATATTTCCACGCCATTATTTCATAGCACCTAAAAGATTTCACAGAGACGTTGCGACTCTTAATGAAATAAATGTGGGTTAATTCACATTTACTCTGTAGCGAGAGTATTTGCTGTGGAAAAGGAGTATATTTTGGCTTATAGTGTATACATCAAATAAATACAATTGTCTTTTTCTGAATCTTTATGGTGCCCATCATCATAATTAGCTTAAGTGAAGCTGTAATTAGCTTGCATATAGCTTCAATTTGCTGCAAAATAAATCACCAAATAAATCAATAATTTACAACCAAACAAGCAGTGCAGGCTTTTTCAAAAGAAAAAAAAACCCACAAGCAAACCATTATGCCTGGACATTTCCAAATGCAGCACTACTCCTTGCCTGCCTTCTCTGAGAGAGATGTGACAGTTTTCAGCACCAGACATTTTCATTCAAGCACACAGGAATCGTGTAAAACCAAACAAATAATCACATGAAACAAAGCTTTGATTAGGAGCCTGTGAATAATGATCCTTTTCACATATTCAGTGTCTAGGGTGTTTAACACATTTTACATGTAGAATATATCAAGCAAGTCCTGACGATGAGGTTTTGGTATCAAGAGAAACACACTTTATTAGAGAGGGAGCGTGTCAGGGCTTGGTGCCAATTGGTTGCAAGTAGTTATGTTGCAAACACATCCAACACCCACATTTGGAGAAGTGCAAGAGGGAACATGTTTCTTATTTTCCTCTTTCCTGCTCCGTTTTCCTACAAATTCATAAGAGGCAAGTGTTACCTATACAGACAAAAAAAAAAAAAGCGGTGACAGAAATTTTCCATGGCATGAATAAATCACAGGTTTACATTGTTGAAAAATATTTTTGGGTTTGGATGCTTTTGTACAAGTTATTGCTATGGAGACTGTATTAATTGACTGCATTTCTCATGTGGTTGTAGGTAATAGTCAGCGAACTCAAAAGGTGGAAAAAAACACTTTGGTATATATTAAATTAGTTGATATATTTTTATTGCCAGAAATGTAACAGGGACCAAAGGCATAACAAAAGTCTGAAACTTGGGGATATTTGGAATAAAGAGAACATCCACAGGTGAATTATTTAGCATGAGTTTGGGACTGGGGCTGTTAGTCCCAATTTCAGAAAGGAATAAAAAAGCTCCCTCATGTTTCACAGCATGAGCTACATATTTTTTGATGAGTATTGGGAGGGCATTTTAACTGTAGCCATCTAATTCTACATTTTCCAGGTGGATTTTGTACCTTGCTCTAGAAGTTCTAGTTCTGGCTAGCAGTGGAGAATGATTATTGGAAGAGATGCACCACTACCCTGGGATGTCTGCTCCTTTGTAGGAGGGAATTTATGGCTTCTGCACGTTACTGGTTGGTATCCTTTGGGTAACTCTCAATATGTTTACTGCAAACAACTACTTAGCCTGCATCCATGATACTATTACATTTATCTTGAAGTCATGTGTGGTACTACAGCAATTTTTGTGCTTTTAGTATATAAATATTTTACAGAGTATCAATGGAAAAATATATTGATATGAACATATCTATAAGGAATGAAAAGATATCCTTTAGAATATGACGTGTTTTAATTAATTGGTTTTGCACTTTATGTTGACATGCAGAAAAATGATAGCTGCATGCAACCTCCTGAAGTCAGAAGTAAGAATATATTTATATATCAGAAGCTGAAAATTCTATTCTAAGATTAAAATTACAATGTATTTCTATAGACAGAGATATTTGGATTTCATTAAGTAAAAAGACTTTCTTTTTTCTTCACACTTCAGGAAAGAAATTACTTTTGCATTTGGTTAGGGATGAATGAATATGATACCAAATCTTTTGTTTGCATCAGTGTGCAATGTGTCATTTTCTCAAATGAGGGCTGGGTGTATTTGCAGAGCAGATGCAGAAGTGTGTCTGATTACCTCACTGTTTCTTTGTACCCAGCATAGATGGAGGGGAATTAGAACTCATCAGCAGGAGGGAGGGGTTGTTTTCTTCCCAACCAGGCCATCAAAGAATCCCAGAATACAGTTTAAACTATTCAGACTGAAAATAGACTGAATTTTGTCTGCCTGATTTCAGTAAATACTTGTGTATTACTTATAGTGACATTTTTTAAGGACAGATGCTGGAAGCTGTAAATACCCATGTTGAAGATAATGCTCTGAATCCAGTCTCAGGCCTTTCATGCAGCATAAAGCTTTGCTGAACAGGGCTGTGAGAAAATAGCTGTGTTGACAAAAGCCCAGGTATGGATACAGTTGTACAGGCAAAAGAGTCTATTTGCTAAAATATTTTCTTTCTCTTTAGAGACCAACAGTACATCCCCAGTGTGTGCCAGTGCAGCTCTGCCTGCAGACAAAACACTTTAAATATGAACAAGGTGAACAATGGCTGATTAATTAGACTGTATGTCTTGCAGCATTAAAGTTGGGTGCTCCTTATCCCTCCTGGGATGGAGGTTACTGATACTGAAAGATTTAGTTCCTGACTCTGCAATTTTAATTCCTGTTGCGTATGTGACACTAAGCCACGTCACTGATGCCTGTTGGATTACACTGTGTATGGCTGAGCAGAGCAAAGACAGCTTGAAGTGACAGGAAACAGACAGAGCCACCTTAGTGCTGTCAGCAGGCAGTGAAGGGCAAACTGCTCTGAATGCTCAATAAGATGAGATTTAGGTTTGGCATCACACCTGCCAGGTACCAGCCCCTCCCTAACCAGGACCCAGGCCCTTCAAGTGATGCTGCCTGCATGGGAGGGGGGCAGGAGTTGCAGCAGAATGTCATTCCTGGTTTCTGCTGATGGTTGTGATCAGCTTGATCCTTTCCAGCATTTCATGTCAGAAATCTGTTCCCTGGAAAAATTGTGGGCAGGTCTAATTAAAAAGTGAAAGCTTAACGCTTCCCAAGACCTAGTTTTCTATTGCAGAGGTGTTGGCCATGGCAATAGTTGCTATTGTCTGCCACAGTTCACTGAAATCCTCATTTCCAGTGGAAACACATGGGTCCAGACAAAACTTTTGCCAGAAAGCATTCCTTTCCTTTGGCATGTGGTGTAAGGGTTGGAGAGAGAGAGGCAGGGATGAGAAAATAATTGAGAACTCAATTATTTGAGGCTGGGGTTACTCTTCTAGAAAGCCAAGGTGTGTTTCAGGTCTTTGATGTGACTTGAACAGAGTAGAGATCATAGAATCATAGAATGGTTTGGGTTAGAAGGAACCTTTAAAGGTCATCTAGTCCAAGCCCCTGCAATGAGCAGGGACACCTTCCACTAGATCAGGTTGCTCAGAGCCCCATCCAGCCTGGCCTTGAATGTTTCCAGGGATGGAGCATCCACCACCTCTCTGAGCACTGTTTCACTGTTTCCCACCTTATTGAGAGGTGAGGATGTCAGACTCCAGCTCCTGCCTTCTGCTCATCTTCCTCTCAACTGGGTCTTGGCTATGTTAGGATGGGTAATACCTCATGTTCCTGTTTTTTTGGTTGGTTGGTTGGCTGATTTTGGGTTAGATTTTATTTTTTTTTAATGTTATTGGCAGCTTCCTGATACAGGCCAGGAATATTTTGTACCTAATAATTGTTACAAGCAGGAAATTCTGCTGCCTCACTGTGGCAATCTCACTCATCAGAAATCTACCTATTCTGTGTCATTTCTATACCGTAATGGGTATTTCTGTGTGACACAGAATTTGTTACTACTTTTTTGCAGCTGTATGATGCTCCCCTTTGAACATATGTTTCTGTGGAATTAGCTAAATTGTGCAGAGAGCAGATTTTCTTTTTCTGCTTAGTGTAGCAGGGAAGGTAAAGGTTATCCCCACTGCAGGACATGGGGAGGAGTGGTCACTCCTCCGAGCTGCTTCTGTAGCTGCACTGATGGTGTTTGGTGAAGCAAATCTGCTGCAAATTACAGCGTGTGGTTATAGATCAATTTATTCTCCTGCCTGCTGCCAACGATGTGCTGAGCACGAATGGAGCTAACTTGGTAAACATGCACTATAGTAAGAGAAAATAACCAAGCGTTGTTGAAAGGAATAATTAATTAATGTTTGTAAAGCACTTAGAAACTGAAAAGCACCTTATTAGTGCTAAGTGTTCAGGGGCCTGGCTTTCTCATCAGAAGTTAAAGTCGTCGTCTTTGTTAGTCTTTAACCGAACAAAACATTAAGAGTATAAAGCCTTTGTGTCTAATGTCCTCAGTCAGGTGTTCTTGTGCCTGGCAGTCATTAAGATGCAGTAAGTAAACAAGAAGAAACTATAAATGGCTCGAATCAGCTCGTTTCCACTGATGCCAGCAGAATTGTGTTGATTTACATTAGCTGAAGATCAGCAGTGGAGAATCCATAGCACAGCTCAGTCAGAGCCGGCAACCGGTTTATTTGCTACCACTCCCACCTTTCTGAGCCCAGCTGCCAGGAATGAACACGAAACTACATTAGGGCACAGGGTTCTCTGTGCAGTGAGGTGGACAAATTGGATGGCTCAGATTTGCTACCTGGGGCGGGCAGCACATAAAAGAACGTGCTAGAGAGAAGGAATCCTATTTATCATGCGTGCCACGCAGGGCTGAAAGGTGATGCCTATGGCTGACCTCAGTTCTGGAGCTCAGGAATGTGGAGAGTAAGAATCTGTGCCTTTACTTCCAAAGAGCCTTGGCTCCCTCCCAAGTCTTCGTGACACTGAGGTCACCGGCTGAAGGGTGGATTTACTTGGAAGGCTAAAAGAGCTATGAGCCACCCAGAACAGAACCATCTGGGGACATGTGGATGATCCCTGGAATGAAATGTGCAGTCCACAGTCAATGTTCCTATCTGCCTAAGAGGGTGTTTATCCTCTGTATTTCACTCCCTGTAAGTAGTACCAAAATCTTAGATTCTGTGGGCACAGGAGAAGGGGGAGGACAGGGGAGTCAACCTTGTGGAAAACAGGGTGCTGCAGAAAAGAGTTTAAGACTAATTGGCCACAGAGCACAGGAAAAAGCACTGGCCTGTCCATCAGTGCACACACTTTTAAGATTATCGTATGCCCTTACCAGACAAGCTCCCTTTCTTCAGCCAGAAATTTTGTCAGGCTAAATTTGATTATGCTGGGCATCTGTTCTGTATTTATGAGTATCCAGGACCTCAGCAGCTCACAGTGAGCTTCCAGATTAATGAAAAACCTGATGATGTGCCCACTTCAGCTGTATGGTGCATGAGCAGTGTGCCCACATGCACATCACACATGGTCACTGACAAGAGTGCTGGGAGATGGAATCCAGTCTTTGATCACTTGTGTGTTTCTTCTCACAGGAGATCAGTAGCTTTTATTTTCTTCTGGATTAATTGGCAGAATAAGAAAGGTTACCTGCCAAGAAAATCCAATTATTCCGCCCTTGCTGGTCTTGAATAAAGCTCCATGGTTGATAAAGGGTCACAGTTTGAGAGAATCAAAATAAGGCACCAGGACACCAGATATTCTGGTTTTTCAATCTCTGCACCAGCCTAGGGCAGAGTATGTTTGGCTCACTTCAGTGGCAGTGCTGGAACACAGTGTGCCAGAATACCCTGTCATGGCATTTTTGGAAGAGCTAAGCATTATTAGGATTGGTTACTAGTTATCTTTGTAATTATCCATCTGTTACAGATCCATTTATTGAATCTGAGAGGGGCCAGAACCCTTGCATGTCCTTCTTGCTCCTAACTTTGCTTGAGTTCACCATAAGGAGCTTTGTGCAAAACCAATAAAGAAGCAAAAAAAAACTTCTTTGAAAGAGCGAAAATTGTGATTGTCCTATGAATAGCAAAAGTCATAATAATCTGTCTTCATCAAGAGCATGGTCTTAGGAGCACTGGATAATCTTTTTGGAAGTCAGAGTAGGAAACTGAGAGGTCTCTCAGAGGTCCAGCTGAGACTCTGTGGAGCTGCTCACTTGCTCCTAGTGACCTCCTGTCCCACATATCCATAGCTGTGGAAGGGAAAAGTTGGTGTCAAATCCCTAGATACCCTGTGTCTATTGTCAGCAAAATTAACCAGGTTAAGAAAGTTAAGAGAACCAAAGGCTTTATTTCTGTAGGTTTCTGAATCCAGAGGCCAGAGCTGAAGTGATTCAGGTGAAACACTCAAAGAATCCAGCACAGACAAATGACCCAACAGAAAGTTCCACAGATGTCAAGGCAGAAGGTGAATATATGATAATTAATTCTTTCTCCTGGAATATGTGCTGCTAATTGACTTGGCAGCAGCTCCATTACTGTGATTCTTTGGCTCATAGGTTTTAGGCCAGAAGCAACAACTATGATCGTCTGGTCCTA